CAGAAAAGATATTTGGGGGGGGTGAGGGGGAGAAGAAAAAAAAAAAAAAGTGGATTTTCTTGTCTGTGCATAAAGGGCAGCATGGAAAAAAAGAGGAGGGGGAAAAAAAAAAAAAGGAATATTTATTTAAAAGGCAGAGGACATCATGCTTTTCTGCCGGCCGCCCCTGCTGTCTGCTGAGTGGTAGTGGCTAATAGCTGGAGGCGAAACTAATACTTGGCAGGGGATGAGACACAGCCCAGGCCCCCTTATATTTAGGGGCTTGCTAAAGTGCTTGCTTTATGTCAGGGCTGCGAGATGAGTTCATCTTCTCAGGATTTGGTGGAGCGCCCTGGGAGATAAAAGAAGGCAAAGGAGCCCACCGGGGTGTGGGGAGCGCTGGCTGGGGCTGGGGGAGAAGGGGGACCCTGCCCAGAGCTGGCTGGAGGCAGTGGCTTTTCAGAGGAGCCTTTTCACCCTCTCCTTTCGTGGTGTTTTATTTTGGGGAGGTTGCTTTTGCAGCTGGTGCATGGCTTTTGAAGCCCATGGCCAGGAAAAGTGGGGCAGAAAGGAAGCTTCTAGCTGCGTGATGGTGCAGTCACCTAAAACTCGTGTCCTGGCCTGTTGGAAGGAGGAGAGGACATCTTCAGGAGTGCTTTGAGCTGGCAGAGCTGTCACCGCCAGGCAGGAGCTGTGACGGGGTGACAGAGATGGGAAGCACATTGGGAGGGGGGTTTTGCCCCCTCTGAGATGTGCATGTGTATGAACGGACTGAAACTCCTGTCATAAATCGCATGGAAATGATTTTAATAAGGCTATTTTAGGTGCACCAAAGTAGAAGGTGTGGGAAAGAAACCTTCCCCTGCTTCCAAGCATGCGTGTAGATGGGTGACTTTACCAAAATACTTGCTGGTTCCTGGAAAGCAGGGATGTCACCAGGATGGTGACACCTACCGTGAGATGTTCTTGTAGAATAGACACTGGTTTCCTTCCGCTTCGCTTTCCCCCATGTAAATTTGCAACAAACCTTGGGAAACACCTATTTAAATGTTTATTGCTGGCTGTTCCCCCAGTTAATTCAAATGATGGGAAAAGTTGATTTTTGAAGTTATCCCATTCTTGGTCTGGATGGGAAATTGAGGGGCTGAGTGGTAGTTTCTGAAAAATGTAATAACAAAACCAACTTACCTAATGGGCATGCAGGGCTTTGGAGAGGTTGGGAGGTTAAACAGATGCAGAGCTCAGTAATTGTTCCCAGTCTCCGGGCCCTGCAGATGGAAAGCTCTGAGCTTGTCTGTAGCCCCCTGCACGGCATCACTCGAGTGGGACCAAAGCAAAATTTAGGATTTTTTGAAGAGTTTTGGGAAGGCACTGACGGCATCTCCACTGTGTGATGTCCCAGGGGAAAGATGATTGTGGAAACCTGTGGAAGGTGGACCTGCAGATGAAGCTCAGTTGATGAGTACGTCTTCTTTCTGCTGTTGCGTCATTTATGAACTACATCTTGTTTCACCTCTTAAAATCTGGAACTGTTGGCCGTAGTGCATTTTAAAGAGCAAAATGCACTGACCTTCTGCATGATGGTAGACCAAGGGCTGTTATCAGAGGTCAAAAGATTTTCGTCCACTCCAGGCTGTTGATTTCAGAGGTTTGTAGAGATGTAGCTACGGGTGGTCTTGCTTCACTGTTCAATTAGATAAGGCTATTTGGGTGAGATTTGTGTTAATGACATAAACTTGGCTAACATCATTTTTGCAACTGCTGAGGGTGGTCTTGCTTCGGTGTTCAATTAGATAAGACTATTTGGGTCAGATTTCTGTTAATGTCATAAACTTGGCTAACATAATTTTTGCAACTGCTGCAGCAATACCTCAAAGAGGTTCTGAAACTTTTTCTCATTTCTGTTTCATCAAAATTTCTGTTCTTCATGGGGACTTTAGCGCATCATGTTGGCGCTAGGTTTCTAACCCAGAATTACATTTGAATCTTTTCTTCCTCCCCTAAAGCTTCATGTTCACGTGGCTGGTGCTTTGCAAGGCATCATGAGATACTTCAGCAGAGTCAAGTCCAGTTGTCTTGATGTGCTTGGGTACAATATACTCATCATGCGCTTGCTGAAGAAATCATGACCCTTTTGGAGCAAGTTGGGTTGTACATTTGACTCCTGGTGATCTGGACACAGGAGATGGTCATCTGAGATGGCAAAGGAAATACAGCTATTGGCCAAAGAGTAAGAATGGGGGGAAAACCCTTTGGTTTTCCTAATTTTTGTTGTTAGCAGAGTGCAGCATTAGGATGAGCTTATTACAGAGTGACTGAGTGGTTTCCATGGAGGATGGTTCAGAAGCACAAAGACACAAAGACCTATCAGTGCTACTGGGACGAGGTGGAGTGTCCCACCCCACCTCAAGAGCTGGTGGACAGGACCTGGGCCTTGGGGGAAAGGAACCCAAGTTTGCCTCATCTGGCTCCAGGATGCGTCCAGTTGTCTTGATGTGCTTGGGTACAATATACTCATCATGCGCTTGCTGAAGAAATCATGACCCTTTTGGAGCAAGTTGGGTTGTACATTTGACTCCTGGTGATCTGGACACAGGAGATGGTCATCTGAGATGGCAAAGGAAATACAGCTATTGGCCAAAGAGTAAGAATGGGGGGAAAACCCTTTGGTTTTCCTAATTTTTGTTGTTAGCAGAGTGCAGCATTAGGATGAGCTTATTACAGAGTGACTGAGTGGTTTCCATGGAGGATGGTTCAGAAGCACAAAGACACAAAGACCTATCAGTGCTACTGGGACGAGGTGGAGTGTCCCACCCCACCTCAAGAGCTGGTGGACAGGACCTGGGCCTTGGGGGAAAGGAACCCAAGTTTGCCTCATCTGGCTCCAGGATGCTGTTACTGCTCTGATCAAGGGTCTTCACCCATTTCCCTGCTGTGCAGAGCCACTCACTCTGAATTTAGGGGGCACATCTCACCCAGTTGTGTTCAGCAGGGCTTTTCCCCTGCCTTTAGGAGGCTCAGGACATCATGACCATTAGTAAGTAGGGGGCACAAAGCTGTTGGCTTGCAGGGAAACGGTGTTTCTGTTCCCATTGCTGCAGGATTTTCTTCCCATTTCTGAGTAAAATGGGCATCAAACCAAAAAGGGGCTGTTGGTGGCCGTGCTGGGTCCTAAAAATTATTTAAACAGATGATGGGGGAGAAAGGGGGCCAATCTGGCATTTTCAGGGTGGCTTAGACCTGTGGTGGGCGAAGGGGTCGGTGTGAGCCGACGAGCATTGCCCATGGCAAAGAGCATCCCGCTTGCCCAATTCCCCCCTCCCCTTCCCCCCACCTATGACCATTAGTAAGTAGGGGGCACAAAGCTGTTGGCTTGCAGGGAAACGGTGTTTCTGTTCCCATTGCTGCAGGATTTTCTTCCCATTTCTGAGTAAAATGGGCATCAAACCAAAAAGGGGCTGTTGGTGGCCGTGCTGGGTCCTAAAAATTATTTAAACAGATGATGGGGGAGAAAGGGGGCCAATCTGGCATTTTCAGGGTGGCTTAGACCTGTGGTGGGCGAAGGGGTCGGTGTGAGCCGACGAGCATTGCCCATGGCAAAGAGCATCCCGCTTGCCCAATTCCCCCCTCCCCTTCCCCCCACCTCCCTCCCCTTAAATTTGTGTAGTTACAACTCAAGTTAAACTCTAACAAAGCTGCTTAATTCAAAGACGGTTAATGGGGAGGAGAGACCGTTCCCCTCCGGGGTAATTTGAGCCTGAAAAGAAAAGGGGCCGTAGGGCTGCGCTCGAAATCCGGTGCGTCAATGGGGTCTCTGAGGCAAAATAATGGCATCACCCCGCGTGCGAGTTAATGGGACATGATGGCATGAAGGCAGAGGGGTCAGCAGGCCGCGGGCGCGTGATATATTGTCAGAGAGCTTAATGCCGGGCACGGAGCGGGGCTGGCTGGAAGCAGAGCTCCTTGCTTGAAATCCCAGTGTGGTTTCCTGTGAAGCCTTGTGGTAGGAGCAGGAACGATGTTCAGCAAGAGGTTAATTCGCCCTCTTCGGGGCTCTTTTAGGGCTCAGAGTTCCCATCTTCCTTCTGGAGGCATCATAAATTCTGGGAGCGTCATAAATTAAACAGATCTCTGGCAGTCTCTGTCCCTCCTGTCTTTCTTGAGTGTAATTCCTGGAAAGAAGAGATGTTTCTCATTGTTCTGGAGAGAGTTCCAATGGCTTTGTAGGAGGACATGTATAGCTCATAGCAACTACTCCCCCTTGGCATGAAATGCCTCCTCAGATTTCATGTTCCCCGTGGGAACATCAGCATCGCTGTCAAAGAGTGTTATATAGTAGAGATAACTGTCAGGTGAGTCATCCAGGCACTTCATGGACATCTCCTGTGTTTCAGCTCAACACAAGTTGGCCTTTGAAAATGGGGGGACCTGCCAAGCTCAGGCATGCAGTGTTACAGTGTCTGTGCCGGCTCTTGGTGGTAGAAATGTTCATATCTTGAGTGCACAGGGTCCTGGCTGCTGGACGCAGGATTGAACCTTAAATTAGAGAGAAAAAGAGGTGTTGAGCTCCATGGGAGCTGGTGGGTGGTCCGTTGAGTCGCTAGCCTTTGCTTGAGCTTTCTTGGTGGCATTTCACGTAAGTGAAGACAAGCTTTGGACTGGAGACGCTCTTTGGGTTGAGCATGAGCATTGGGTTGGAGATGAACTTTGGGCTGGAAATGGTCTTTAGATTGAGCACAAGCTTTGTGTTGGAGATGGGCTTTGGGTTGGAAATGGTCTTTGGGTTGAGCACAAGCTTTGGGTTGGAGATGGGCTTTGGGTTGGAAATGGTCTTTGGGTTGAGCACAGGCTTTGTGTTGGAGATGCGCTTTGGGTTGAGTACAGGTTTTGGGTTGAACACAAGCTCAGTTCCCACATGAACAAAGCCCATGGGTGGGAAGAGCCATGTGCTTACCTTCCATACCTGTCTTTTCCCAAGTGGTCACAGCAAACCCTGACTCCTCCTCTGCTTTCTCCCACAGATGCCAGTACGTCGCCTGATGCCGTGAAGAGGAGCCATTGGTGCAACGTGGCCTATTGGGAGCACCGGACGCGCGTTGGCCGCCTCTACACAGTGTACGAACAGTCTGTCAGTATATTTTATGACCTACCTCAAGGAAACGGCTTCTGCCTCGGACAGCTAAACCTGGAAAACAGGAGCGAGACTGTGAGAAGGACTCGAAGTAAAATCGGCTACGGGATTTTACTCAGCAAAGAACCGGACGGTGTGTGGGCTTACAACCGCAGCGAGCATCCCATCTTCGTCAACTCCCCGACACTGGACATCCCCAACTGTAGGACTTTGATCGTGCGCAAGGTGATGCCGGGCTACTCCATCAAGGTGTTTGACTACGAGAAGTCCTGCCTCTTGCAGCACACGGCCGATCTGGATTACGCAGACGGGCCCTACGACCCCAACAGCGTGCGGATTAGCTTCGCCAAAGGCTGGGGGCCGTGTTACTCCAGACAGTTTATCACGTCGTGTCCTTGTTGGCTGGAGATTTTACTCAGTAACAATCGATAACGGTCAGCCTCTGACGAAAGGAAAAAGAAAAGAAAAGACACAGACTATCCCAAATATCATCTACCTAGATTTAATATAAAGTTTTATATATTATATGAAAATATATATTATACTTGTAATTATGGAGTCATTTTTACAATGTAATTATTTATGTATGGTGCAATGTGTATATGGACAAAAAACAGAAAATGCACTTTGGCTTATATAATTCTTTCAATACAGATTTTTTTAAAAAAGAAAAATTATACAGCAAAAATAGGAGAAAGCCCTAATTTTGATGTATGGTTTTTTGAAATATTATTAATACCCAGACAAAAAGCTAATACCAGTCACTCATTGATAATAAAGTATTCGCATTATAGGGGGGGGATTTAATTGTCTTTTTTTTTTTTTTTTTCCCCCTGACTGAAGCCTGCAGCAGTGTCTGCTCAGGAGCTCTGCAGTCAGGGGGGGTTTCCAGAGGGGTGACCACTGTCTCCCATCTCAGCCAGGCCCCTTAGAAAAACAGTAAATGACTTGCTGGAAGGCTACAGTTGTGTCTTCAAGAAGAGGGTAAATGAGGACAATTTGAGAGGCAGGGATGTGAGAATTGCTGTTCTTGCTCAGGGCTCTGTGATCTCTTTGGTAACACAAAACATGGTGGGGACATCCTGAACATGAGCGTGGATGTTAATGTTTGTAAGATTGATGGGTACCAGTGGAAACTGCTGGGTGTTAGTGCTGGTGGGAAGTGCAGAATAGACCATCCAGCCCTAAAAGCTGCCCAGTGGCACTAGACCAGCCTTGCACTGGGGTTTTCTCCTCCAAGTCCGGTATTCCCAGCCATGTTCAATGGTTGAGAAACAAATGGTGGTTTTCAACAACTTCTGGCTGGGTGGATCCTCAGTTGGAGACACTGTAGTGTCTCCCTGAATTGGGGGAGCCTCTCCAGTAACTTCAAGGTGGAGGTGAGCTGGATGAGTTGTGTTTGGATTTGTCCCGTTGCTCTCCCAGTCCGTCATCCAGGCAATAAACTGACAAGAGGATGGTTTGGGAAGGATATATTTGCTCTCAGGAGCAGTTGGGGCCAGAAGAAGTCCTGGTCAAATGAGCTTCTCCCAGCTGATTGACTCTTTTTGGAAGTCCTGGATAAAACCAGGCCCTTTGGTGACTTCCACGTGAGCTTCCTTGCTGTCAGCACTGGAGCACCCACGCGCTTGCAGGGGCAGGTTGGACATTGTCTGGCCTCGCTTGGTTAATGAAGTTATTGCCGGTGACGAGTGTTGCCAAGTCCTAGAGTTGTGTTACAAATCCCTGTACATTTTGATTTTCATGAAGTCCCAGCCTCTGGAGTGCGGTGGCTGCAGAAGCACCTCAGCTTCTGGTGTTTAAGAGGATGTTTGTGTAGACGTTGTATTTGCAGAGAAAAACATGCAGCGAGACCTCTTCAATGGCTCAAAACTGGCCGAGGGAGTAAAATAGGACACAAACTTCCCATTAAAAAGAGCTGTCTAGGGTTGTGCATTTTGGCAACTGGACTTGGTGTTTCTGCAGGAGCCAGGAGCGAGGATGGGGACGGTGGGGACCCCATCCCACTGCGGAAACACACACAGACCTGGGGTGGACATCGGGGAGAGACACACGCAGGGAATGTCACAATGACATTTCCACAGTCATTTCTCAAATTATAACCATACTTGATATTTAATTGGGACCACATTGGTTGAGTTCATGCAGCATCGGTGTTAATACTTGACATAATTAATTTTTGTTTTTGTTATAGCCATTGTTGTCAGAGAACAGTGTCAAAACACATCACTATCATTTCAAGCCAGCTTTCAAGAGCTTTGCAGGGTTTTTTTATCCCCTTTGGCTTAGATTTGGTCTGTCCTGCCATACCACCTACATCACTCATTCTATCACTTTCACGCAGCCGGTCAAGAGGCCGTTTTTATGTTTGGGGTTTTTTTTAAGAGATTTTTTGTTAATACCGTCCTCGTTTTAGCTGGGATGAAGCAGCCCAAAGCTGAGTTGCTTCTCCCTGCTTCCTTTTCTCCTCTTTCCTGGCATTTCCCACCACCACCCAGAAGGTTTGGCATTCGCATCCCAAGCTGGCTGCTGCCTTCCTCCCTGTCCTCCTCCTCCTCGCCTGCACACACAGATGCAGCAGTGCCATGATTTGCCACTTTCTACCGGCTTCTTCTGCATTTTAGACAAAACAGCACCAAGGATGGACATTGTTATTTGCTTTTATGGGCTGGTCGGGCACCTTCCAGCTCCGTTCCAGGTTTGCATCAGCGAAAGGATTTTTTTTGTGGGTTGAAATTCGAGCATTAGCTTTGGGATTTCCCTTGTGCAATTCATTGATTGTACTTAATTTTTCCTTTTTTTTTTTTTTTTTTTTACTACTCATGTGCTTCCCCAGGAATAAATCTGGAGTTTTATTTCAGTTGACAGCAAGGCTTTAAAGGGAATAAAAAAGGATTTTATGGTGAGGCAATGAAATAACTCATCAAGTAGACTTTTCTGCCCCATTTCTTCCCTTTAATACTTTACTGTAATCATTCAAACTTAGGATGCTTTAAAGAAGCTTTAGGACTTCCAAGCAATTGAACTCCATGCTGGACCTTCACGAAGCCCAGATGAAGTCTCCATGTGATCCATATTAGGTTTGAACCTTGGGGGCTGTTTGGTGACCAAGTTAGCCCTTGGGGTGGCTGTGGGTGGAGGGAACTTTCATCAGGGAAAGAGGAGACATTTCCCTGTTGGGGTTTGCAGGAGCAGCTGTGCATCGTTGGGTTTTGCTGATGGGCCAATGGGTCTCTCATGTGCCTACACCCACAGCTGCTGGTGGTTACTCATCAGCCCCTATGAAAACAGGATGGCTGCAGCCCCCTGCCCTCTGGGCAGCCTTCTGAGATCCTCCAAATGCTCTTTCTTTCTGGAACAGTCGTGGTCTTCTAACAGGTAAGTGGTACCTTCTCTATTTTTGTTCCTTTGATGCTTATATGGTGTTATGTTACTTTGAAATTTAAGCATCCCCTTGGCAGGAGGGTTCTGGGCTGTTTCCACCTGGACTGTGCTTGGGCTGAGCTCCTGGTGCTGCTCTGGGTGCTCTGATGCTGGGGTGTTGCAGGGTTTTGTGTGTTTGGTTTTGAGTTGGAGCTGGTTTAGCTTTGTCCTGGGAAGGCTGCTGGGTCACCCATGTTCATGGGTGACCACTGAGTGCTTCTTTGGAGGGGTGTGTTGGGCAGTGCAGCAGGGAAGTGTTTTTTTTCTGTAGTAGGACACCTATGGTGCATCTACAGGGGGTCAAACTGAGCTAAGGAGCTGGGTGTGCCACCACTCAGTAGTATGGCAGGATCCTTGTGGCACCCCCTCAGCCCTGCATGGTCAGAGGAGACATGGCAGCAGCAAATCCCTGAGTAAAGCTGCCTTTGCATGCATGGAAGGGTTTCAGCAATGCACTGACCGTGGTGTTTGCTCCAAATCATCAGTTACTTGTATGGAGAGGTCATGGTTTTGTTGTAGGATGGGGGTGTTGCATGGGTTTGGTGCCTCAGCATGATCTTAAGCTGGTGAGTCTCACCCCTTCAAGGCAGTGACTCCTCAGGTGGAGCTTCCCCAGACCACAGCCCTCAAATTTCCTTGTCAACGAGGAGTAAGATCTTGATCCTTGCAGAAGAGCCCCAAATGAATGGTCTGACTCACTCTGGCTGCTTTATGAATCATCTGTGGAGGTGGTGGGACGTGGACATGTTCTATCACCCATGTTCATGGGTGACCACTGAGTGCTTTTTTGGAGGGGTGTGTTGGGCAGTGCAGCAGGGAAGTGTTTTTTTTCTGTAGTAGGACACCTATGGTGCATCTACAGGGGGTCAAACTGAGCTAAGGAGCTGGGTGTGCCACCACTCAGTAGTATGGCAGGATCCTTGTGGCACCCCCTCAGCCCTGCATGGTCAGAGGAGACATGGCAGCAGCAAATCCCTGAGTAAAGCTGCCTTTGCATGCATGGAAGGGTTTCAGCAATGCACTGACCGTGGTGTTTGCTCCAAATCATCAGTTACTTGTATGGAGAGGTCATGGTTTTGTTGTAGGATGGGGGTGTTGCATGGGTTTGGTGCCTCAGCATGATCTTAAGCTGGTGAGTCTCACCCCTTCAAGGCAGTGACTCCTCAGGTGGAGCTTCCCCAGACCACAGCCCTCAAATTTCCTTGTCAACGAGGAGTAAGATCTTGATCCTTGCAGAAGAGCCCCAAATGAATGGTCTGACTCACTCTGGCTGCTTTATGCATCATCTGTGGAGGTGGTGGGACGTGGACATGTTCTTAGGTGTTGCTCAGGTAGTGAAACCCGCTGGACATCTTTATCTGTTAGGGCCAAAGCATTGACAGAGGCATCAGCTGGTTCCTTGTGGTGTCAGGGGTGCAACCAGGAGCTTGAAGGCTGCAGTCTGTTTCTGGCTTCCCTGTACTAAATACACCCAAAATCTACTCGGGTGGAAGTCCTGAATTTGTAATTCTAGTATGGGACCTGAGTCCTTATGGGCTTTGATTTGTGGAGTGTGTTTATTTGACAAGATCTGCTTCATTTGAGTAATACTGTGTTCTAAAACTGTCCATGCAATAGGCTGACGAGAAGCAGCCAGTTGCTGCTGGTAGGTCCCAGAGGCTGCTGTTGTTCATTGCTATTATGACTGAGAAATATCTTTTACTCCCCAGAATGGAAAATAAATTAGTGCTAAAAGGAGCCACATTCAGCTCTTCTTAAACAGAGCCTAGGATCCCTCGGTGGCACAGGTTTTGCCACAGTTCTACAGAGTCTGTTGGTCTCTGGAGCATAATCCTTCTCGGGATTTTATCTCCTCAATAAAAGTGCGTGGGACTTGTTCAATGCACAATTAGAAGCTGAATATTGTCCCCCACACACATGCTGGCAAGAACAAAGTTTAAAAAAAAATAATAATCATTGTTGTTGTGGAGGAAGGAGCTGGAGGTGTGCCCTGGGTTGTGATGCTGCTTGACTTTGTGGTCTTTGTAGATAATGGAACATCTCCAGCTCTTTGTTTGGGACGCGAATTATCATTTTTAACACAGTAATGGAATTTAAGTGCATGTACTTCTACCTCTGCTGCCCAAAATTTCAATGGCTCCTATAGCCAGTGCTGTGGCTGTGTCTGTCTTCAAGGCAGCGGGTGGGATTCCAGTGGAAGAAGAGCTTTAGCAGCTGCCCAGGACATTGTGTGGTCTTGGGTCAGGGGATGAACCAGCCGTGTGGTTGGAGCTGCTGGTCTCTGTGGGCCTCATTGGGCTGTGAATTGAGCCTTGGGGTCGTTTTGGTGGTTTTTTTCTGACAAATATGAGGACCCAAAGTCAAGTGTCT